TTTCGGAGGCTCGATTCCTCCCGGGACCTCGGCGGGCTGACGTGTTAGAGACCGGTGACATCGGCGGTGACGAGCTCGGCGGGCTGACGCGTTACGTGGAAAAACCTCGGCGGGCTGACGTGTTACTCGGAAGCACCTCGGCGGGCTGCCGCGTCAGACGCTGGCTGGCTCTGGGCTGTGCCTCGGCGGGCTGACGTGTTAGAGACCGGTGACTTCGGCGGTGACAAGCTCGGCGGGCTGGAATTCGCAGGTTTTTCGGGGTAGAATACGGATTTCGGAGCACTGCAAACACCTGGAACCGGTTTTCGCAGGAAAACGAGCGAATTTGGAGGCCCGGGCTGCACTTTTGACGCAGGACACGAAAAAACGCACTTTTCGGAGTTCGCCGTTTTCAGCGCTTTTTGCACCAAAAACGGAGTGGTGACATTGACCGGTGACATCGGAAAAACGTTCAGCGGGTTGAAGAATTTGGCTGTTTTGCAGGGTTTTTGGCCCAAAAAACCAAAATTAATATGATACTATAAGCCTATGTTCCTTACTACTTCCGTGTGGCAAGACCTTCGACATGCGAAAGTCAGTGGCAAAAGAGGACACCCAAATGCAGCCATTGCCTTGTTATTGCCTTGTTATGCGCGTCCCAATGTCAATGTGGCCACTGTCTTGTGACAAATCCTTGGTGGACTTGCGCATGCGGCAATTCCCTTGCAGCAAAACCTTCGAGGACATACGCAAGCAGTCAGTGCCTTGTGGCAAAAGAGAACATCCGAAGGCAGCCATTGCCTTGTGTCATGTGCATCCCAATGTGGCCACTGCCTTGTGTGAGAACAACCTGCGCATGCGGCAATGTCCTTGTGGCAAAACCTTCGATGTCATGCGAAAGCGTCCCTGCCTTGTGGCAAAGGAGAACATCCGAATGCAGGCATTGCCTTGACTTGCGCATGCGGCAATTTCCTTGTGGCAGAACCTTCGACATGCGATTGTGGCAAAGGATGACATCCGAATGCAGCCATTGCCTTGTCATGTGCATGCCAATGTGGCCACTGCATTGTGACAAACACGTTGGCAGACTTGCACATGCGGCAATTTCCTTGTGGCAAAACCTTTGACATGCGAAAGCGGTCACTGCCTTGTGGCAAAAGAGGACATCCCAGTGCAGTCGCAACAGCCTTGAGGGGTCATTCTGGACATGAGCAACAGTCAATTATGTTGGTTTTGGTGGTCTCCAGACAGCGAGTTTTCACACATCAGGATGGCAGGAACTGGGCACGCTCAGGGCTCCGGGGCTCTGGCGCAAAGAGATGCCAGCGAGTCCCTCTTCAACTTGGCAGCTTCTTGTGGGCGTTTCAGGAACCAAGAGCCCAAACTTGCACCGGCTTCGTGTCCGGCCAAAGCGCCGGCAAGGCCGGCCCACGGGCCAAAGAGCCGGCACCATATTATGCAACTCGGAAAGAGTTGTACTATCGCTCGTGGTACATGTTTGAATGTTGGTTACTTCCGGTGCTTTGGGTGCTGGTCAAGATGCTGTTTTTATGAATGCCTGTACCCCTTCCCCTGCCCCTCCCTGTAAGGTAGTTGGGTGCTGTCCCTATAGTGGCTAGGAAGCTGATACATCAGCATTTTCCCTATAAGCTTTGCGAAGAGACCCCTTGATTTTGATCGGAGATTCGAGCTGCGCTGTTGCGTCCCCCAACGGGAAATCACTCAGAGATTTGCATTTCTCTTTCTAAAAGAGCTGCGTCCTAAGATTTCCGCAAACAAAGGCTTCCCAAGGGTCTCCTAAGGCTTCGCTGGGGCTTCACGAAGGATTCCAGCCTTCCCTAAGGCTTCCAGGCTGAATCACACAGTTCAGGGGTCCCTATATTTCCCTTTTTGGTGGTTTTAAACATCACCTTTTTGGTCCATGAAAGGTGAGTATCCCTTGTTGGGGGTGATGCTTTAAGGGGAAAATTTTCGGGAGCCCTGCAGTTTTTCACATCCTGAGAAGGGGGTTGGTGAGCTCACGGGGATTCTTTTGTGCGCATTGACATGAGCTACACCCTGGCCATTCAACAGAAGCCCAAGGGCCAGCGTCCTCAATGTGGCTGGAAAAGAGCGCATCCCATTCTTATACTTGGCATTTTGTGTAAGATTGTTCACGGCGCATCTTTCGTGGCAATGCTGGCGTTTTGTTGGGCCGCTCCCGGTTCACAGCTTGCTTGCTTTGGACTAACACAGGCACACGGCTGAGGATGTGACATGGCTATTGATGGTGGATCGACGTTGCGTCTGCGTCACACCTCTTCGGGCCCTTTGGGATTTCACTTTGGGATTTGTACCTCAATTTGATTTCTCTTGTCGGTGCCAACAGTGTCGAAGGCATCCCCGGCTCGTTACATCCTTCTAAGGTTACCGTGAATTGTTATCGTGGGTCATGATCTGTTCCTTTATTTGCTCTTCTTGAGCTTTGTTTGATTTGCGTCTCCCTGAAGCTTTCGCCCTGAGCTTTAACTTTTTGAGGATGCACTGAGAACTTTCTCGGTGCCTGTTGAAGGTTCTGTGTGCTTGTGCCGTCTTGTCTGGTTTGGTTTCCTTCCTCCGCCTCTCTGCGCTGAAATTCTGAAACGGCGGGCCTGCGTGTCGCAACCGCACGGATCAAAAAACGCACTTGGTGGATTTCTGAATGCTGACTTTCTGTCAACCATGGATACAGGATTTCCGGTGGACGTTTCTCCCATTTTGCATGTACTTTTTCCAGAGGTTGAGCGCAGACTCCATCTTGATACCGTTTTACGACTGTCCAGGGCTGCTCGTTGCCTTGGAGCAACTGCGGTGGTGCTTGCCTGCCTCTGTGCGGATTTAAAGTTTTTGTGAATCTCTTGGTTCTTGGCCCCTTCTTTGGGTTTCCTCTTTGTCCAGCTTTGGGGTTGGTCTGTTCGCTTCCCGGTTCAGCTCCTTCCTTCGGCTTCGCGGCTTGGGCCGCGGGCCAACAACACGAGCTTTGCGCTCGGCGTGGGCCCCACAGCCAAGGTCCGGCTTTGAACTTGCACTCCAGTTCTGTGTCACATTTCAGCCGCACGTCAGGCGACACGGGCCCCACTTCGACCCGATGGTGATTGATTTATGAGTGTCAGCAGATTGAGGCTTTTGTTCCCTACACTGGCGTGCCGCCCTTTGTCACCGTATGGCGACAACACAGAGTGGCCTTTTTGCTGCAGCTCCCTGCAACTCTTACCTTGTCTGTGACCTCTTGGTCCGGACTCTTTTGCTTCTTCGTGTCTGATTCTTTTTGGTGTTCTAGTTGTTCTTTGTTTGGGCTGCCCTTGTTTGTTGCGTTCGGTGACGTTGCCTACCGCTGCGGGGGCTGGGGTATTTGCTTGTTGTGCCAGACATATACATTGTGGACCGTCGTTGCTGCACGGTAAACAAAAACAAAAAATGACGGCGTCTACACGGGCTCAGTGGTCTCTCATTTGCCGGCATGCCCTCCGCGCGAACCTTGTCGCTGGCGTAGACCAAGCAGATTCCGCGGGCGACGAACCGGAGGGATGGAAGGCGATGACCCTTCCGCGTCCGGTTGGGACTCAGAAGCGACCAGCTCTGGATGATTGCCTTCAGCCAGCCAGGACCTCGTGTTTTCAGCTGACGATCCTGCCTGCCGGTTGCCTGTGTGGCCCCGCCTCCCGAGCTCACAGACTCAAGTGGCGCCACGTCGGACAGTTTTCTCCTAGAGAACGAGTGCACGGACGCTGTGCAAAAGATTGCCGTTCACCTCACCAAGCTGCAAGTCTGCCACATGTAGAGAAAAGGTGAAGCGATGGAGGACGGGAACGGAGCGACCCCCGCAGGACGCCGGTAATTGGCAGAATTTGGCAATGCATACTGCTAACCAAAGCGAGCCATATGACCTTCTTCTATTTCTTTGCCCAGACGCCAACTGTTGCCTTGGGTCGCCCGATCAGATCATGTCCGCAGCCAGTGTTTAACCACTTCACACCACGGCCTTGCTAAGAGCGATCAACTGGCCATGGCTCTTTCTTAATGTGGCGACCTGTACTGGCTTGTCCTCCGCACAGTTGTGTTTGATCAGCGTCCTTGATGACTTCAGCCTGTAGGATTGTGCTTTGTCTTTGATCGAAACGACCCAATGATGTGAAATACGAAATGGGTTGCTGTCGTTGGTTCTTTTCCTTGGCGCGTATCATACGAGCTTCGTATTCTCCAAGTACATGAAGGAGCATTGTCCAAGTCGTGGGCGTTTCTTGCAATAACTGTCAGCGTTTCTGTACGACTCGCTGGTGGCATCATCGTTGTCATTGTAGTAGGTCTCAGCCTCGGCGTCGCTCTCTGCGCCACAGACGTCCTCCTTCTTCACCGACGCAAGAGGTTTTCTCACCGTTAGCTGGTGCGGCGTTGCCTTCCCCTTTCGTGTAGCGTCGGGCGTCGCCGGAGCAGGCTTAGGAAGAATCAACAAACATACCCCGCATGGTTTAATGTTAGTTTATTGAGATTCGGCAACCCTTCCAGTGGTTTGCGTGGCGGCATGTTTTTGGGTGGGTCAGATATAGTGTGTTTTGACATCGCCTGGCAAACCAAACAAAACGGCGTGGTGTCTTGTAGGATCTTCGGCTCCCACTTATTGGGCATCCACCGTATGCTTCAAAATAGGCCTCAAATGGTTTGGGTTCCATTTCATGTTTTTTTGCGTCAACACCCGGAACTGTTGCTCTGTTTAACCAGCTCTCAAGCCGACTTCGGGCTTTCCCGGATCCTGAAAGGCAGCGTTTGAAGACTTGGTGATGCTCTATCTGCATGTCGAACTCGAGAGATCTCGGCTCAGGTAGGGTTTTGATCAAAGCTCATGAAACCACCTCTTGGTCGAAAAGATGGGAACCAGGTTCGTGGGGATGGGGCCTTGAACTTGCTTCCAGGAAGGATTGGCACGTCTCCATGCGGCGTTCTTGGGTGACCAAACATACTCAAGTCCCGTACACGCCGGGTGCTTTTCTCACACGCAAACCCAACAAAGTCCTCGGCTTTCCTCGCTTCGCTTTTTCCGATTGGATCGATTCGGGGCATCCGAATCGACATGGAGAGTTTGTACCAGCCGGTGGGGGCGCCACCGCGGGCGCCAGGTGAGGTTTGGCCGAGTCGAGCGGATCGAGAGCCAGAAGGGTTTTTTCCGTAAAGTTCCACCTTTTCGGCCAGTCTGAAACTTGAGTTTTTGTTTTGGGCAGCTTGATATGTCCAAGGAGAAATGCAGGACATTCTGTGGGGTGCCATTTTCGAGCTTGTGGCGAGCATTTGAGCAACTGATGAGCAAACGGGAAGGTGCAAGGTTTCAAGCAACGTTCGAACTCAGCTTAGAGGCGTGGTCTTGGAATTACTTTTGGAGAATGGACACCCGTTGAAACCACGCCACTAACATTCGCCCAAAGAACATTTGGTGCCACTTTCACGACCCAACGAAAAGGGCACGAGGCCCCCCAAAGTCCGTCCCTTTGCTCTTTCACCGTAAAAAGTCCGAGCCTGTATTTGATTTGGAGAGACTGGATTTCAAGAGCCAGAGAAATGAGTCCGTCGGCCCATAGCTTTGGGATGCCTGTGATCTCTCCAAGTCATTGCCAGTCACATGTGGATTGCCCCTCGAAACTTCACTTGGGGTGTGACATCGCCCCCATTGAGTGTCGACCATGCAACGCGAATACAACCCAGGGCCGTTTTGGGCGGGGGAGTTTCAGTGTTTTTCTTTGCTTTGTTTGCTTTTTGTTTGTTTGTTTGTTTGTTTGTTTGTTTGCTTATGTGTTTGTTTGTTTCAGTGTGTTGCTCGAGTTGTAGGGTTTGGCAGTTTTAGGGCCACGTAGTTTTCTTGACTATATGTTCAGAGCTCTCGCTGGAGATTAATCAGACGTCTTCTTCTGAAGATCTTCACAGGCAGTTACTCCGGCAACTTGGTGGTTCGGGGGTTTATCCCCCTGCTTTTTGCATATACCCTTTGGTTTATTAATAGGGGGTGTTCCCTTAGTTTGGATTCCGCACTTGAGGATCAGTGTATTCATCTGGGGCCGACATTGGGCGGGTAGTCAAAACGACCACTCTCGAGTCCACTTATCAGCCCAGTTGTGGTTGACCCCAGATGCGATTCATCCCTGGGGTTGTGCTGTGCCGTGGTTTTCCATCCATACCGACCCCACCCCAAAACCAGGTTTGTCACTTCCGTGAAGGGCGGGCCTTGCTAACGATTCCCATGGCTCCCCTTGCTTTGACCATCCACATGTCATGACCATGGCTGAATGGGGTGTCGGGTTTCCGAATCTGCTTGTGGTCAAGACCACCCACCCAAATTCTTAGCGGTGGATTAGGTCAAGGACAAATGTCACACAGAAGCTTAGGATGAAGACCACCCATGACCGGAGTTAAGACACTGGGAGCTAGGAGTTCACACAGAAGCTCAGGGTTAAGACCACCCGTGACTGGAGTTCAGACACTAGGAGCTAGGAGTCAAGAAAGGAGTTTTGTGATTTAAAGACACTCCTAGTTGTCTTTTGGTGTTTATTCACATCACTTTCTCAACTTAAATCCCACATGTTCCCACCAAAACTATGTAAGGGAGGTCTCTTTTGGGGAAGACCCACATGTTCGCACCAAACGACTGTTTCTTCCTCGGGAAAACCCGTATTTCCCCAGCAAAAAAGGCTGCGCGGTGCCCAGCACGCGCTTGCGAGGCGCCCCGCGCTGCGACTGCGAGGCGGCGCGCAGTTTGGCGCCGGCGGTGGGCATCCTGGCGGCGGCCGCGGCGGCTTCGCCGCAACGCGAAGTGCAGGGAGCTTTTGCCCCGGGGCCTAAGCCCAAGATTCATAATGAATGTGTGTCTTCATCTTTGGACCCGAAGCCCCTCAAAATCACATTTGGGGGGGCGGGACAGGGAAGGGGGTCAACTAACCTATGATTGTTGCCAAGTTGGTAAGCCCTGGGGTCTTTGTATCAAGGCCTGTTCAAGTTTGCAGGGGAAAACATGAATTGGAGCTTCCCCTTGTTTTGCGCATCTCCGAACAAGGTTTTCGCAGGCGCTCAATTGTCTCGAATTGGGCTGGAACCTGCCAAGACAGGTGGTTTCCCCTGTGGTTTCCAAAAAAAGTCAAAGGGTTTAGACATGAACATGACGCAAAATCCTGAGCGCACATGGGGTTGTCCTGAAATGAGTTGAAACCTGACCCACATGTGCCTGGTTTCGTTTTGGTTTCTGACAAAACAAGCTGACTTACTTGGAAAGGTGGGTTGAGTTGCTCCGGACTCATCTCTATTGGTCTCGTTGGATCTCACGGGCCACCGGAAGAAGTTGGGGGCCGGTTCCTGACCAACAGGGGGTTCAGAGCTTATTTTTTTTTTTTTAGCATGCGGGTTGCAGGAATGAGGTTGGAACCCAAAGGAACCGCCATTGGACTCCATCTTACATTCGACGTCATTGTGTCGCTCTTGCTTGTAAACGTGACTTCTTCAAATTCATTGTGAGGCCATGACCTTCCTGGTGCCTGCGCTCATGGGAGTGACCCACAAGGCGTGGTGGTCCCTGTGCCAACGGGGTAAGGGGGTCTGTTGAGGCTGGAAGCTTGTTGGTGGGTTTCCGGGTTTAGGTGGGGCTGGGCTCCAGATCGGAAGCCGCACGCCCCCTTTGGCGAGTTTATTGGTGAAGTGACGTTGAACGTGGCTTCACAATCCAAGTCTTTCACTACCCTTGATTACGTACTACTCTGTCCACGAATATGGAACCCACCAGATTGGCGCTTTTAAACAAACATAGTCCACCTGAAACGTCAGGCTGAATGTTGGGCAGGAGGGTAGGTTTCTTGGTTGGTATTACCCTCTACTACACCTCGTCGCAGGCATCTCCAGCTGCTTCTTCCGGGGCTGCTCCCGCCGCTGGAGTAGTTCCAGTGCCTGGCGTTGGAGTGGAGGTGGGGCCCTTTGCCGATGGGGTTTGTTGACCCTTTTCTTTGGGGTTGGTTTGAAAGGGGGCACCAAAAGGTTGACCCGGACCAGTGTTGCCGGGGCAATGGGGCCTATGTCCACAAATGTCCGACAGTCACTCTTTGGTTGGACCGAAGGTGACCTGTCCCAGAACTCCTCCCAATGAAAGGATGACCGGAAGATCATGTTCCTGAAGCGACCATCTACCTGTCAGGTGCCATGCGGCTTCAACAGGCTTCGGAACACAGACTCACTAAACTTCACAGAAGCAGGGGGGCACAAACACACACGCACATTGTTTGGTGCATGTCCCTGATGGGAACAGCGTGACACAGCGCGGACCTCGCTTCCGCCTCCCCCCCCCGCCCCGCGCTCGGCTGCCGAGACTTGGACCGAGACCAGCAGCAGCCCAAGGGGACTGGGCGCTGGGGGTGCGGGATGCCCGACCGGCGAAAGGCCGAGGGGTGCGTGGCTCTTGGGTTGCTGTTTCGTCACTCAGTTGCTTGTTGTTTTGACAGCAGGAAGCCAACTCCCTTTTTTGCTGGCATGGTAAGCACGATTTGTTTGTCGGGACGCTGCATGTTTCATTGTTTGGTCCGGGGGGGTTACAAGTTTGCGCTTTGTTTCTTTTGATCAGCCACTTTTTGTGAGCCAAGGTCCATGTTTTTCTAAGATGGTTGCAACCCCTAATGAAGTATGGCCACATTTTGTCAGCCTCCTTGCAACTGGATCTGTTCAATTGACCACTTGCTCAAAATCACATCTGGAGGGGAATATCATTTGTTCCCCACCTCTGGGACTATCAATTTCAGGGCTGATTTTGAGGGTGTCACTTTCAGCCCACGTTTCTGCTGGATGGCACCCCTTTTGGGGGAGCAAATTGAATTGAGGGTGTAGCTTTGAGCAACATGTGGGGTGTGTCTTTGTTTAGGGCAGCCAGTTTTTTGTGACGGCTTCAAAAGGGAAACCAAAGGGAACACCGAACTCCATGGGGGGTCCAACCTGAAAACGACGAGCCATGGTGCGTTGGGACCCCCCGGGTTTGAATTCCGAGGCAGTGCTCCGACGACCCCGAAGGCGACCAGCCCGGAGCTTATGTCGTTGAGAGAACTCAGCACCCAACGACAAGGCACTGCAAGCTGTACAAAGCATCCAAAGCGGGGAACACGCTCCTAAAGTCAAGGTGTGGACAACCAAGAGGCAACAGACAAGATGGATTTTTTTTTCTCCCGAAGGTCCCAACATGGATTCGGTTTTCAATTGGTTGCCGTTGCATTTCCCCCAAAAAGATTGGTACCCTCAAACAAAGAAACCCGCACACACGCAACATCCGCAAGGGGGTTCTCTAGATCAGCGGACGATAACTGAGACATGAAACGCAGGTGGTGTCTTTTCGTACAAAGCCGGGAGGTTCTAGCCCAACGTCTACCTTTGGGAGGTTTTCAGCTGGTTTCCACTACCACCAGACCAGTACCTTGAATTGGAAGTCGTTGGCATGTAACAGCTGCATGGTCACTATGTGAGCAGGTCGGGCAAGTGACTTGTGACAAACATCATTGAAAGCTGAAGGGGGTATGCACCAATCATTTGCCTGGGGTGGTGGTTTGGCCTGTGGTGGTTTTGTGGTGGAAACGTTAGGTGTGGTGAGGCGAAGGAAGCAGTCTGTCAGGTGTTCTATTATTTTGCGGCAGGGGGCACAAAGTTCCATCACCTACGAGTCCCGGGCAGCCTTCTCCTCTCCTTGTGTTCTCCCGGGTTTCTGTTTTTTGGGAGTTCGGCACACCTCCGATTTTTGGAGAGGCTTTGCCTGTTTTTGTCCAATTGGAGGGTAGCACTCTTCTTGCTTCCTTACGCAGAAGAGTTGTGCACGTCAGAACCCTTCCAAGGAGGTTGCCAGTTTGTCTTGGCTCCTTTCCAACTCAAGAGGAGCTGAGGATGTGAAAATCTAGGATCCTGCCAGAGTTTGACAGGGCAGGTTTCACCCGGCCAAAAGGATCTTTCTGACACGGGCTGCAGTGCTGCAGGCAGACTCGACATGAAGTCAGCCAGGTGTCTTCGTCCACTTCTTGTTTCTCCGCCTGCTTGAGCCAGGGGTTTATTGAGGAGCGCCTTTTTTTTTTCAGGGTGCCCTGTTGAAAGGGGACCTGTTCTGTGCCGAAGCAGTTCCATGAGGATCCGTTCATGTTGAGACCGCTCTGTGAGGCATCGCCGACCAAAATCGGCTGGATCTGGAGCTGGGGGTGGGTCGATGCGTGGGGCGGGCAGTGGATTGGAGAAGACCCTGTGCAAAAGGCTTAGTGGATTCCAGTGCACCAGGATCGGAAAGCGCAGAAATCGATTGCAAAGAGGGATGGAGAGGGGTGTCTCGGATGGCTTTGTGGCAGGTTCAGTGTCTTTCGAGGATTGTTCACAGCTTGGTTCTGTGATCCTTTCCCTCCCAACAGGTGCGGGTTCTCATGTTCGCCCGCATTGGCGGCTTGGATGAGGAATTGAACCTCTGGTTCTTGTAAAGGGCAAATGGGAAACCACCCCCTAAACCCTGAACGACCAAGTTGGCTGCCAACCCCGGCCTCCTAGCTCAGACGGCTTCGCCATAGACTTTGCCTGTGCTTGTGCTGCATTTGTGTGTTTGGACAACAAAATCAATTTGACCATTGAGAGGGAGAAACGTGTGTTGGGGCATTGGTGGGGTCAGGCCATGACTGGGTGGGACGGGAATCCTGATAGAGCATGTCCTGGACTTTTCGTAAGTTTGGGGTGCAACCCTCCTCGAATGCGATCAAACGGATCTCCTCGCGTGGAACGATCACGTTGGAACCTCACGAAAGGAGGGTCTTGGTTTCGACGAATCTTTCTTTGGCCTCCTGGCTTCCAAGTTCCGATGGACCAACGGCTCCTCCGGCTTGACATTGTGCATATGCCGTGTGTTTGCTTCAACCAATCATCTCTCCCAGACACGCTTATTTGTATTTATTCATTCTGTATGCATGTGTTCTTCTTCTCGGAGCATGGACTTGTTTTGATAGGCTTTTTGCTCATTTCCCAGGGACATCCATCTAGTTTTCCAAAAGATCACCAATGCATATGGGTGTGTCATTGTTCTTTTCAACCCCTTTTTGGGGTTCACCACCCTTTTTGGGGTGGTTTCAACTTGTCACCTGTCATCTCCCGGCATCCGCTGGCAGGAGCTCTCGTTCCAGCTGGACTGGCTGGCTCGGGCACCTGGGTCCGGGTTTTTCTCCCCCCCCCCCCGCCAGGAACCCCCCCGCCCGGAAAGGAAAGAAGGTCCGCGAGGAGGAAGGCTCGTCTTTCGAGTTTGGGGTTCTCGTTTTGTTTGGTAGAAGGTGCCTGACTTTTGAACTTTTGGGACTGGTCATCGCATGTGGCTCATTGACTCGGTCCTTTTCAGAGGGAAGCCGAAAGCCGAAGCCAACAAAAAGGCGAAGCCTGGAAGGAAAAAGCCATGCGCCAGCCGGTTCGACTGAACCCCCGAAAACGAAGCTTCCATGGGCCGGAAGGGATGTCTCCAAAATGAGCCAGTGTTCTGTTTGGCAGATCAAGCGTAGTATACTATAGAGCAAGTAGCTCGGGCAAAAGCAAATGCTGGCCGGAGCTCGAAGGAGGTCGCTTTCCGAAAGAAACCATCACAGCTTTTTGCCAAGGCCTTGTTTAGTCCGATAATTGGCCCAGATTTGGTTTTAAGGCACCTCAAATCATGCATTTGATTGAGTTTTGGCCCATTGTGGTAGCCAGGGCCGGGTCAAAGTTTTCTCGCAGAACAAGCTGAGAGCCGTTTGAGGCCCCACGACGGTCCCTGACTTGCGCAGCTGGTCTTTTGTCCCACAGCTTCGCGGCGGTACACGTTTTATTCCCATGAAACCTAGACAAGGTGATGACCCAAAATGTTAGTGCAGCTACACGCCTTTTTTCCATGAAACCTAGACAAGGTGATCACCCAAATGTTATTGCAGCTACACACCATTTTTCCATGAAACCTAGAAAAGGTGATGACCCAACAGGTATTTGCAGCAGGAAACCGACGACTTCTCTTCGAAGTTTGCTGAAGAGCGACCCATCGGGGGAAAAAGACCGGCTCACAGGGCGCGTCCCCGAGCGAGAGGCCCGGGTGCCCCAGCCAGCGGTGCCTTGGAGTGTTGAGGGGCAAGACAAAGACTCATGGCAAAGGTAGGCAATACATATATGGCTGTGGGTCAAAACCAATGGTACCATTTTGGGGTAGGTGCAGCACCCATTTAGTCTAATTTAGTGGGGATTGGGATGTTCACTGGCGGTTCGGGATTTTGACCCATGGCCATATGCGTATCATTCTATTATATCCACTTGTACACAAGTAGGCCCCTCCTCTTGTATTCTACTATATCGTTCTATTAATACATATATGGATGCATTCATTCTATTTTGTAGGCCCCTCTTTCTATGAAGCAAGCCTGCGGTTTCTGTGGCACGCCAGCCGCAGGGGGTAGTGGATCCATCACACATGAGGTAACAAGCAGTTAAAATAATGCAGCATTCCCATGAATCATGGGCTCGGGGGCTCGGCCCATTTCCTTTCGGCTATTTCGGCAGGGCTTTGGTGTCTGCCTCTGTCCCCTTCCAAAGCCACAAGAGGGCTATGGAGCTTCCGGTGAAACAGGATCAGCTCCGGTCGAGGAGATCTGCGATCAACTTGGGGTTTCCTCCCAGCACCCCACAGATTCCCTTTTCAGGCGCCTTTGGAACTGCTCTTCGTGGAAAACATCCAACTTGAACTGGAGAGAGAAACGATGGGGATCCTTGTCAGATGAGTTTTGGCTGAAACGGCTCGTTGCGCAAAGTATCTTGGCAACATCGGCACGACTTGTTCACAGGCCAACGGTTCCGCCACCTGAACCATCTTTTTTGTAATTCGTTTGACTTGGTCGCCCAATCCGTGGCTCATCGGATTGGCCCATCAACTCCACTTTGAACAGCCCACTTTTGATATCAGCTTTTGGTAGCAACTACTATGCACCCCAGTGAATATAATTGCATACAGACATTTATCCAGATCTATATGACTACATGCCTTTTTGTATGTGCATATTTGCATAGTGAAACACATGTGTATATACATATATACATCATTGTTTGTGTAAAAGATCAAGCACTCGGTAAATGCAGGCACACGTCCATCCATCCGTCCATCCATCCATCCATGCATGCATGCATGCATGCCTGCGCATGCATGCATACCTGCATACATACACGCCTGGGCTGGCTCGTACCCTTAGCCAAGGGCCTGAGGCGGGTGGAAGAGCCTGCGTGCCATTTTTTTTTAATTAATTTAACTGGTTCAAGATAGATGAATTCCACTGGTACTTCACCACGGCAATGTGTCAATGTTTCCAAGCTCGTGTTGGAATAGCTTGCTATGTGCACCTTGAAAGCATCGGCGCAGCAGCTTTGAGACCCCTATCCATGTGGATCCCTTGCTTAGACTTGGTACAAGACTGGTAGAACAGGCCAACTAGGTGCAATAGAAACCATGAGTTTGGACGTACCCTTTGGAAACCACCAGGAGGCCTTGAAGATGCTCCGTTCTCTGGGGAGCTTCCTTGGAATTGCGGCAGGGTGATATCATTGATCAAAATCTGACATTGCCAGATTTTCATCAATGCAGCATTCTAAGCAAGACTTGGTACCCTCCCAGATGGTTTTTCTTGGAGGAAAATGGTCTTCCACCCCCGCCAATTGGGTTCCATGCCAATCTGTGCAAGGGTACTCCCCTACAGATGAACATGGAACCCCAACTGCCACCATGTGCAGAGGAAGCTCCTTTTGGGTCCCTCTTGCGTAAAAGGCACCCCGCTTTTGGGTTCCTTCCGCTTCAAGCAGCAGTTCTCGCTGTACTTGCCCAGGCAAGACCTGGAAGACAAGCTTCGGTCGGCCATCGCCCGGAAAGCAAAGGCCTATGGGGCGAGGGCAACTCGAGGGCTCGAGGAGAAGCGAGCGAGCTTTCCATCCATCTGGAGTCGGGCGGAGAAAACCAGGTCAGCCATCAAGGGTCCTTTCAGGGATTCTTTCACAGTCAATAGTCTGATCGTTTCTCGGGCATGTCCTTTTGCTTGAAAGCAGATGAGTCTCATGTGGCAAAATCAATGTATTTTGACACCCAAAGGGGCATCTCTTTTTCCTGGATCTCTTCCTGGAATTGGCCTGTGTGAGCCCGGACATCTACTTGACTACTTCATCCAGCCGGCTCTCCTTTTGAGACAATCGGGTTGTGGGCCCTCGGAAAAAGGGGGGGAAGCCCAATGCATTTGGTTTTCTCCCCTTGGAATGCGAAAGGAACAGCCAAGGGCACCTTTGCTTTTTGGAGCCGACAACGGATACGGTATCTTGCTCCCCATGGGGTGTATGCGCACTTTGGTTCAAGAAAACACCGGAGATTCCATAGGAATGTTGCCACCCTTTTTTGCCGGATATGATTCCCCTATTCTTAAGAAACACCCATGTATTTGGGCACGTAAAGGTGGGAGTTGTGGCATTTCATTAAACTGCATCCTTTTGAGAACATGCCAAGTGTTGAAAATCCGGGAACCAATAAACAAGGTTTGCGTGAATTCTCGAGTCTTGTTTTTCACCTTGGTATCAAGTGGCCATGGGTCAAAAGCCCGTACCCTCGGTGAATATCCCAATCCCCACTAAAACAGACTAAACTGGGTAGTGCACCTACCCCAAAATGGTAGCATTGGTTTTGACCCACAGCCAAGTGAAACCAAGAGGAACAATTGTTTGCGTGCCTCGATTTTTTTTGGCAAAATGGAGCCCCGCCTCGCCTCAGCTTTCTCTTTGGTTCGTGAGAGTCTTTCCCACTCGCATCAAGCGGAACCAAGTCATGAGGGATCAACCCAAACATCTTCTGGGCGATAGGTATGGCTGTGGGTCAAAAGAATGTACCCAAAACGGCTTGCCCTAGTAAGTGGAAACATGAACTCAAACCTGCAGTCCCCTGGTGGTGTAATTTTGACCCACCCCCGTATAGGAAAAAACTATCTTCTCAGGTAGCAAGCCAAAGGTACGCTTTGTTTTGTATGCATGGGCACATCGGCAGGTTCCGCCGGAATATGCCCGGCGACCCAGAAGAGGACTTGGCCAGAGGAGGGAGAGGAGGGTGGCAGGAACATCAGTTGGAACTGAAGCTCAACCAGTGTTGTTTCGTGGGCTGTTCAAGCATGGAGGGTTTGCCAGTTCATATGGGTGTGTCTTTTGTTGAGGGTATCCCTTATTTGGGGCTTTACAGGAAAAACATGAGGAATCGCACGCTTTTTTCAGGGTCCCCCTATAACAAGACACATCCATGTACGGAAACCACTACAAAGAGAATCACCTTCATCACTTAAGTGCAGGAATGCTACAACCCTGTTCATTTGGCTTATTCACCTGATGGCGTGTGTCTCCGAGTGGGTTGTAGGGTCCTAGCCATATTGGACAAATGCTTGATGGAGCCACATAAGTCCCAAAAGACGAGCAGGACGGCTTCTCCACTTTTAGCGGTTTCTTTTTTTACCAGGTCCAATCAACAAACTCAACCGACAAAGGAAAAGCAAATACCTGTGGAGATGATGCCTCTTGTGGTGGGTCCCATGGTGTGTTGATGCAGACGGGGACAACTCAAGTTTCATTTCCTCCCGAGACCCAAGGAAAGATTTCTCATAGCTTTTAAGGAGGGGTGTCCCTTCAAGGTCAGCCCTACAAAAAGGCTGCCCTCTCTCTCCCTCCACTGAAATCTGCGCGTTTTGTTTTGGTTTTTGAAGAGAACCCCCTCTTTTGCGGTCTTAACGGGAAACCACCAAGACGTCCCCACCAAAAGCATCTCTCCGAAAGCTCAGGTGCGGGTGGCCGTGCCGGAAGCCGCCGGCAAGGTGGAGGCGAAGGCCGTGGGCTCGCCAAAAGGGATATCTGCAAGGCCATGGAAAAGCAAGGGAAGCTTCAGAACAGAGGCCCTCTCAAACCGGATCCGTTGAAGTTTTAGTCCATATGGTGGCTCAAAATGGCCTAAGACAAGGGACATGTTTTAGTCCATATGGGTGTGGCTCAAAATTAAGCGATCGGAGGGGTTAAGTTACGCAGGTTTTGGTACCCATGTTTCCACTTGCGAGGGCAACCCATTTGGGTACCGTTGTTTTGAGCCACAGTCATATCAGCAGCGTCCGGCTGTCTGGGGTCATGGCTGTGTGGTTGGTCGCAACGTAGACCAGATAGATAACACAGGTATAGAATGAAGTATATAAATACAGAGAACCACTCCCCAAGCGCCTAGCAAGGCGGCGTGCCCAATCATACTCATGGGTGGTATATACCCAGTGATACGACCTCGTACAACCTACTTGTCTGGAGGCCCATGGTGGAACCGTGACCAGGTGGTTTTTGGGTTTCCCACTGTTGTAGTCTTCGAATCACTAGGTTCCGACTATGTAGCTTTGGGGTTATTTTAGGGGCTGGCCAAAGATGCAGCTGTCAAAGACGGCATGATGAACCTAGCAATACCCTCCGTAGAGACCCACCTATGGTGATAACGTAGCACCCAATACTTCCTACTTGTGGCTATTGCCATACAACCATTGTTACAAGCTACTCACTGATGGTCCGAAGTGGGAGCAGCACAGACCAGTCAGTCCCCAGTTAAGCTAGCCACTCCTTTGTAAACCCTTGCAAGCAGAGTTACCAGCCATCTAAGATCGCAAACGATTTGGCTTGCAACCCGCTTCGAACTTGGCTATCACTAGGTGATCACCTCGTTTCCTGGGCTTGCCAGCTTACAATCTGATCAACCATATCCACAGCTTAGTTCCAGGTTGCTACTTTAGGTTGACACAACCGGACGGTTGCTGGGTCATCTCTCCAGGCTGCGACCTTCAAGATGATTCTTCCATGTTGCTTTTTCCAGGTTGCCTCCTTGAATCAATTGCAACCAGGAAAGAAGGCGGCCAATTCTTCCATGTCCATGTCGCACCTGTCCAGGTTGCTTCTCTCCTTCTTTCCAGGTGGCCGCCTTGAAACTTCAGGTCTATTCTAACTGCTTTGGATTTGGATTTGAACGGGCCCCTGGTTCTTAGAGGCCACACGTGGCCCCCCCAAAGTCCACCGCGTCGTGGGAAGCCGCCAGCTCCGCTGCTCCGCTCGGCTCGCGGCTCGCGGCGCGTAGGTGGTGCCTCCCCCGGGCGCCACGCCCGGGGATCTCAAGGCGCAGCTCGCGGAGCTGGGGCCCACGCTGGCGCAGGCCGCCCGCGGCCGCGGGGGCGGCTTTGCCATGGCTTCGGTGGACGTCCTATTCGGTCCTTCTCGGGGGGGTTGGTGTCTGGGTACGTGGGAGGTTTTTTTTTTCTTCTGTGGGAGGGGGGGGCTGGCGTGGGGACGTTTGGAGTTGTGGGTCTGTCGTTTTTTGGAGAAAGGTACCCAAAACTTTGGGGTTTGCAAGGGACACCGAGAGGAAAAGCCACCTGGGGTTGGGTTGGGTGTATCGAACCTGGAGTTCCCCTGGTTGGACTCCCCCCCCAAAAAAATGCGGTTCCAATAAAGGGCGTCCAATCGCTTGTGCAGGACAATCATGCGTCAAATGGGCGTTTTGTTGGTTCAGATACCCTTTCCCACTTTTCAAAGCGAAAGCGAAAGCGAAGACATTGCTAGGGGTCCTTTGATCCCTTTGACACGCACCGAAATGGACATGGTTTTTGCTCTGGTTGATGCTCTTGGGGTTGGGGATGCTCTTTGGGAGGAGTTATGGATCTGTCTTTTTGTTTGGAGTTGGTACCCCCGGTTTGCAAGGGAAATCAATCAACAAATGGGTCGAACCTTACAAAAGACAGACCCGTATGGGACATGGTTGTCTGGTTGATGAACGCGAAGAGCATCACTGCGAATTTTCCTTTGGCCTTTTTCTGGTGTCTCATGTTTTTGCAAGGAGAAGTCGCCTTGAGATTTGTTTGGATGGGGAGCTGGTTTATCCTGGGGGAGTGCATCAAATCAAGCTAACATGCTTTGGGTCACTGTCAGTATCATTTGCGTCGAGAAGGGGTGACTGGGGTAGTATGAATCAACTGGGCTCCCATTGTATACCCCATCTTTCTCTTTTCTGTCAGTTTGAGGCCCTCTCAGAGAATTCGCCCGGTGAACACGCCTGAGATAGCCCCTTTTTCCCTCATTTCGCTAATCCAGAAAGGCCCCTCAGGGGTCTACCATTCTGAGACCAACTATTTCTTGGCTGGCCAAGAATCCCCCCCCGAAGAAAGGAGAAACACGTAACAAACGAAAAAGAAGAAGCCTCTTTTTGGTTTGCCGGTCTTTGGGGTCCAACCAAAGTAGGCCTCGAATCAGTTTGAGGCCGCAGCCGCGGCCTCTGCCACGGTGTCCGGGCTGGAGGCGCCAAGACATCTCTCGGGGAGTAATCTCGTTCCGCGCCGCGCCTTTTGCGGGGGATTTGGACCCCCCCGGGCTGCGACGGGTGGTCCACGTGGCATCTGTTTCCAGGCAGGTACCCTCAAAAAAGCCCAAGTGAGGTTGTCTCAGGATTGGGTGGAAATCCAAATTTCCCCCTGAAGTCCGAGCAAAAGGGGGTCACCGCAATCAAAATCCCGGGGGATTTGCAGGGGACAGTTTCAACCATGTACCGGGTGCGGCAAGAACCGCTTAAAACACCCGGTTTGTACTATGACGCACATCGTCCGAGTTAGGACCCCTCTTTGCAAGGTGTCAGTTGGACCCTTCGGTGGTTTTGCGAAGTTCGGCAAAGGCCTTGAGCCAATTTTCAAGTGAGCGTCCTTGCGGTGTGACTTGTCCATGGATCCGGGGGGACGGGGGGGCTCCAGCGAAAGGTGTGAGATTTGCCTCCGAAAAAGTGGTTGTCTAGATTCCTCCCACGCCGCTATGGCACTTGAAGGGATTTGGTCCCTTGAAGTGGACATTGATCTTCTAGCTTGGTACACAGGCGTGTAGTGGATTCGGAGCGATATGTAGTGCAAGCCGAACGCCACCCTGTTCTGCCAAAAGGCGGGCTTGTGTCTTTATTTCTTTGGGAGCTCCGTTTGCTTGGCTTTTCAAGGGAACTAAAAGGGGTCGCCGACGATTCAAGCAGGGAACCTAACCTCAGAAAGGGTACCCAAACATGACACACCCAAGGGAGGCAACCCTTTCGCGAGGTGATGTTTGTGCCCGCGCGGCACGAGGCTCGGAAATAGCCCGCCTGCCTCGACTCGACTTGGTTCGACTTGGCTCGACTCGGATCTTGGACTCCCGAAAAAAGGCGAATAGCTTCGCACAGTGCAACGAAAAGTCGGGGGTCTCTCTATTTCCCCTTTGGGAGGTTTTGAGTTTTGACCATCCGGTTCGTTCTTTTTTTAGCTGTGATGTTAGGTGAAAATGTCGGGTAGTGAGTAAACAGTTTTTTGTGTGTTTCCAGGTGAAACTCCCCAGCACCAAAAGGGGGTTGGGTTTCGAGCCCGACGCAACTCGGCTTTCGCCGCGGAGTGTCGGTCCCGGAAAAGAACTGCTGTCCCTTTTGTCAGCACGTTGGTTTTCCGTGGTGTTGCTTGCAGACCCCACAATAAAGACACAAAAAGGAACCAACCACCGAAAGTTTGGCAACATGCCAAGAACAGCGAAGTGGGATGTCTATTTTGTAGGTACATCCCCGGGTTTTCATGTGGATCGCGCCAGTCCAAAACAATCATGCGGCTCCTGCTTGGGCCTGTCCTCGCGAAACCGGGTGTCCAAAGCTTGGCAAATCCACATCTGGGGTACACAAAAGCGATGGTGGATGTCTTTTTCCGTTTGGAGCCCAGGAAATTGTGGTTTTCCTCTCGGTTTCCCTTTAAAACCAGCACAAGTCGTACCCTCAAACAAAGACAAATCCATTCGGTTCTGTTTCATACTCAGTGGGCCCAAGAATAAAAGCATCGAATCAAGGCGGCCCCGGAAATGTTTCGGGCCTTGTGGGCGACGGGTGGGTTTCCCTCGTGGCTTCCCTTTAAATCGCTTGGTAAGGCCCAAACAAAAGGCCGAGCAAAAGAGCGAGTTGGAGGCGTTCACGCTCCGACCCCCTTTCATATGACTGCTTCCTTCTGGGAAGCCCCCGCCCAACCAGCCAGCACAAGGATGTTCTCCTTTCCGCTTTCGACATCAGCCGTCGCAGGGGATTCGGCGCTTTGCCACGAATCCGAGCACAACCACCACTACCACCACTACCACCACGACCACGACCACCACGACCACCACGACTAGCACTACACGTATCACCTCCGCAAGCACCACTGGGGAGATCCCAACTTTGGAGCAGCTTGCGACCGCAAGAAGGGAATGGGATCCAGGGTTATGTTCTGCAAGCAGGTCTGCAGACAAGCTCATTGTCCCGAAGCCTGGCTTTGACCAAGGCTTAAAGTAAGTCCCCCATTGGCCTATTGGCCTATTGGATGGGCGTGCTGTCGGAACCCTGATCTCAAACCACGCTTTCGATCCCTTTCAAAGCGCCTGCGAGCGATAGGGTTCCTATCAAAAGGCCAGTACCAAGCCCCCCATACAGCGAGGTTGCCATGGTTCTATGGTTGGAGTCTTTCAATGGAATGTAGCAAATGTACAGATCCGTCCTTTATATCAATGTTACGGTACGTGTTCCCTTGAAAGACGGGTTTGTACGAGGGTGAATGTCTTTGTCGGGTGGGCGTTCCTTTTTAACGGGGCGAGTGCTGCTTTCGTTTCGCGCCAGCGGCGGAGTTTTCACCTGTCGCCTTGAACTCAGGCGGGATCTGGGTGTGTTTTTTGAGGTTGGACCCTCTGAATTGGTGGTTTTCCGTTTGGTTTTTTATTAGAAGCAGTTCCAACAGTTTGAGAAACACCCAGATATGAGGACCCTTCACAGATTTCAGATCCCAGAATTCCGAGCCCCTTCTCAGAACCCCCAAAAGAGGACGCCTTGTTTTTTTGTTTGGTCTTCTTCCCGGCAGAATTTGATGGACTTCAAGCTACCTCTAGCACCGATGCTTCAATGCAAGCATCGCATGCTGCCTTGCCGAACTTGATGCAGCGAACATTTTTCTTTGTCTTGTATCTGACCAAAATTCCCCTTTTTGGTTGTCTTGTATCTAACAAATTTCCCTGCGTGGAAACCAGCCAGGGATCAGGTGCGGTGGAATCTCCAAGCCCGCGCTGTCGATTCGAAAGGGACATGGTTGGGGGGGGCGGGGAAGGTGCTCGGTGCGGCGGGCGGAGGGGGGGGGAGTCGTAGCTTTCTTCAGGCAACCAGCTTGGTAACCCTTGGAGGTATCCACTGGTCGAATCTGATTGATAATGCCCTTACTCTTTGTACCCGTGATGTACCCCTTATCCTTCATGATCTTGCCCTGTCTATATATTCAGCTTTGCATCCTTTGTGTACCTTTCATGCGCCCTTGTTGTACCCCTCATGTACCTTTTCTTGGGTCTTTGGACGGTTGTTCGCGCGAGAGTTCTCTGAGAAGAGCCCCGGTCTCGTGACGAAACAATCCGAGGCCTTCCGCGAGTGTGGGCGGCGCAGCTTGGCATCGAGATGGGAGAATAATTTTCGTACTCCGTGAGTTCCAATTTTCGGAAAACGCAATGGGTAGTGGTCAAAAACGTTTTGGGATCCCATTTTGGGGTAGGTGCACCACCCATTCTAGAACCTATTTTAGTGGGGATTGGGATGTTGAGAGAACACTTGGCCCGAGAATCCAAGAATCCGAGAACCCGTTTGGGCAGATCAGCCCTTGGTTTTTGGCTCGCTCTCCAAAAATGGGACGGCCATGATTTTTTTTGGCACGGAAGTTGGGGCCTGGCAAGTCCAGGAAGTGAGTTGGGATCACTGCAACTTGAGCGCTACCCTCCCCAGCTGTGCGGATCAAACCTGAGACCTCACTGCCGAATGGTCTGCACTTCGCCGAACATCTGGGCGAAACTTACGTGCAAAGAGGGCGGGGATCTTTGTCGGTCTCACCTGCAAAGGTTTCTCGTACAGGGAGCCCTGAGTTTGGGTTGCTCACTGAATGTTTGCATCGGATTATTCCGGAGGACCCGGCTAGTTGGTGGACCTCCAAAACCAGATCATTTCCTTCCTAAAGCAAGACACCCCTGTACGGTCCTCCGGATCCCGAAGTTCACATTATATCATTACATACTGGATTAAGGATAATATTATGATATATAACAATCATTATACATTCTATATAACAATCATGATCATTATATCATCATACATTATATCAATCATAGTATATTATCATTCCCGGGGGTTCCATTTACGAGAAACTTGGGATTCCCGGTGTCCCCGAACTCCAGGTATCGACTGGAGCAGTTTCCGTTGTTCAGTCCTGTGAATGATTGACGAAAGGCCCAGCCATAGTGTCAAGCGCGTCATCCATGGCCAAGGATTTTGACCCACAGAGGTGACCGTGGGTCAAAATCCATGGTACCATTTTGGGGTAGGTGAATTCACCACCGATTTTAGAACCTATTTTAGCGGGGATTGGGATGTTGACTGGGGGTATGGCCATGTGACCGTTGGTCTCATTTTCTCCGCAAAACGTGAGGACATAACCAATTCTCCCATGTCCTAGGGAAAACCTGGTAGAGACCGTTCCCCGAAGCTGAAGCCACGATAGCCAAGTCCAAAGCAGCTATCAAGAATCGCTATTTAACGTGTTTAGGCTAATTGCTAAACACACCAATCGCTCATCTTGGCATCATGGCTACTTGGCAGCAAACATTTGTTCGTTTTGCAGAACATCGCCACTTTGACCTCCGGAGGTCTTAGAGTCTTTCACTCGGTTCCCGGCGACTGGGGCATCAGTGGATTCGAAAGCTCGAAACGTGTAGAGAAATCCTGCATCGCGAAACATCCGTTATAAGGGGCTAGACACTTACCCGCATTGCTGGCTTCAGATGACTCGCGAGGCCGCCATGATGTTTGTGGTGGCGGTTCAGATGAACTTCGAGGCGTCCAATGGTAGAGGTTGAGAGGTGGCATGGCAAACCCGGCCTGTGGGTTTTCAACACCCCAAATCTTGCACTGGGTTTTTGGCGACTGTGAGGTTTCTTTGGTACCTCAAAGTGTTTGTTCTTGGTTGCTTTTCAGAAAGGCTGTTTGCTCGAGAGTTCTCGAGGCTGCATCATCCCCCAAAGAGTTGGAGACCCATGAGCAATTTCGCCCTGAGCCAAAGTAACATGTTTAATTGGAGGCTCACATTCTACCACAACGCGCATGTACGGGATGCCAGCCTTCAAGGTCTACTGTTGTGTATCCCGGAGATTGTGGCTTGACCACCCGCTGAAGCTTTCACCTATGAACCACAGCTGCAGTCCCTACAAAGGATCGTCTCACGAGGGTTTCTGCACAAACGATTGGTATCAAAGTATCAGCTTGGGACAACGGAGCTCAGCCATGCGGGGCCTCAAACTCACTCATGAAGGTCCGTTTCTTTTTTTTTGGGGGATCCCTTTCCAGCTTGGAACCTTTTGCGAACCTCTTGAAAAGGAACAATCAAGGGCATCCAAAGCCTTTTTTTTTTTTTGCGGGGGGTTTCTTTTCTCACCCATTGCAAGAGCCCTTGAAAGGCGTGTTTCTATGCATATGGGGGTGTCTTCAGTTGTGGGCCCTCCTGTGTATATCTATATACATGTACATACACAGATTGTTTACATGTACATTCCTCCCTATGACAACATGGACATGCATCTATTTCTCATTCGCATAGCTGTCCAAGGACACACACCCTGCCAACTTACATGCAACCCACCGCGACATCCCGAGACAAGCTAGGTGTCTGTCAGGTTCCCTTTGTGGCTTGGAATGAGAAAGGCCAACATTGACCAAAAGGCGGCTCCGTTCAGGGAAGAAAAGGAAGGCTCTCTCCCAAAGTTCACAAGTAAACACAACCAAGAAAACCATGAGAACCACACAAAACTACTCAACCCCCTCAAACTACCCAACACCACCAAAACCCCTCCAAACCTTTCAAATCAGACCCTCAAAAGAGCCACCAGAAACCACTCAAACCCAACACCACAGCCCCAAGTACCACCTGAAAATGCCCTTCCGGTAGGACCTGGATGCCTTCGATGAGCCCAAGTACCTCGAGGCCTTCGCGAGAACCGTCCGCCTGCCCAGGCGCGGATCCGAAAATTTGGGTGAGAGCCCGAGCGACGCCGATGGCTGGAAGCCAAGCCAAATGGGTGTGGGTCGAAAGTGGATCCACCTATGTCTGTGCTCTTTTTTTCAGGCTGGACCCAAAGTCCCCAGGGATCTTTCGGTTTGCCCTGTGTGCCTAAGGTTGGAAACATGGATTTTGGTTGGGCCTTTTGGTTTCCAGCAGCTTTCCTTCCCGGCAACTGCTGCGATCCCATTTTTTTTTTTTTTAAAGCATACGTGCCAAATGGAGGTTTTTTTCCAGCAGGAACCCAACTTCTTGCAAAACATATATGTGGGCACCCCCTAATTTCTAGGATCCGTAAAGTGATGAGAGAGGGGGGCATATGCTGAGGTTCTGTACTAGCATGGGCGTTGTCTGAAACACTACGTCAGGTTGGACACTCAATTTTGTGCGGTGGGATACTTGGAGGTGTGCAGGCTGATATGGCAGCTGACAATAGTTATAGGTTGTCTGTTGCTTTGAGGAGGACCGGCAAGGACCTTCACAAGGTCGCCGATTCCGGGAGAAAAAGCGCCGAGCGTCCCATCCCAACGCTTCACGGCGACTTTTTGTTTGTTGGGGTGGAGCCGGATTCGGCAGGAACAGCGTCACAGTTGTGCAGACGGAGTACCGCACTGAGGCCGGGTGTCGAAACGGGCGGAGAAGGGGGCGCGTTCGGCGCCTTGAACTTGGACAGCCCTCCGGTCGGACCTCAGGAGCATTTGGCGGGCCTTTGGTTCTATCCCTGGCACCTTCCCGCGTTTGTGATTTTGGAGGGCGGTTTGGGTTTTTGCCCTATCTACCACATGGGTCGACACCACATGTCCGGCTTTCGGGACCCCTTGCATGTAAGGCAGCACTTAGGGTTCAAACAAAGGGCAACTTGTTTCGGGGCAAATTAGTTCACTGGCGTAAACCGAGCTCGGAGTGCCTTACATGTGCTTCCTCATTATCATTTTTTGAGGAGGAAATTGCCGGGATTCTTGGCTCAATTTTCCGCCTCATGTATTTCATTTGCGGGGCGTTGACGAGGTTGCCATTAGCTCCAAGAGAAACCTCCCGTTCTTCTTTGACAGATTGGCTGGGGTCAAGCCCGACCGACCAAAGCGGGCTGCCACTGTTGGACCACGTTGCCCCCGTTGCCCGCGTTGAACACCAACTCGCCTTTTCTTTCGCAACACCACAACATCCTCAACAAACACCGAAATGCAAGAAACCACTGAGAAACACGAAACAGCCAGAAACAACACCCATACCCCAAAAATACCCCAAAAACCCGTGGCCCATACCCCAAAAACCACCCAGAGCCTGTCGCCGAATTTCTTCGAGACGCACAGCGCAGGCGACCTACGTGGTGCCGCGGCTGCTGAAAGCGGAGCAGCTGCGAAGAAGCTTAGCGCAGGCGCCTCGCGGGGGTTCCATTGGGACATTTCCAGTGGGGGCGCCAAAAGAAGGGCCCCAAAAAAACGGTTTTCCCACAAGGAGACTGTTCGAAGTATGGGGAACTCCCTTTTGGGGATTTCCCCGACGAAAGGTTCCCATCTCAACATGGGGCGGGTTTTGGGTTCTCTTTTGGCCACGGGCGGCCACGGCTGCCCGGGGGTCTGGTTGCGACTGCGACGCGGCTCCGAGTCGCGCCAGGCGCTGGGGGTTCCCCTCTTCGCGGTGGAGGTGACCAGACCGGGCCGCCGCCTGCAGGCCTTCGAGCTGGCGGACAGCTGAGGGTTTCCCCTTGGGGTGGCTGTGGTGGTCAAAACCGTTGTGGTTGATCCCATTTTGGTTGGGATTGGGGAATTCACCACCCATTCACTGGGGGTACGGGGTTTTGACCCATGGCCAAGTGGATTTTGAGGCGTCTTCTTTCGAGATTCAGGGTAAGGATGGAAAGTAACACGGGCTTTGTTTGAGAAAGCCAGTTCTTTTGAGGTGAGGGATGGAAAGTAACACGGGCGGGCGTCCTTTAAGAAAGCCAGTCAGGCAGGCTATCTGATCCGTTGAGAAAGCCAGGTTGGTCAGCTCAACCCACCCAGGTGTCCGAACCGGATTTTGAATTGGCTGAAGCAGAGGTCATTTGAATCTTGGGGCGCGAGTGCCAGAACGACCCTGAGGGGTTTGCCTTATTTCACAGGCAGCACCAGAATCCAACCCACTGACCGGTTGGATGCGGCTTTCTGGGGCTACCTTCCCCATTCTTTCTACAATACCTCCGCAAACCCAGGGAAAAACGGCCGGTTCTTGGAAAGAGAAGTAAAAGAGTACAGGGGTGTCTGGAAGTGGTGGGCTTCACGGAAGAATCGCATCCCAAAACGTTTCCTAGAACCAACACAAAAGTCACAACTCGGACATCTTGGCATACAACTTCCAAAGTGCAAACTCTGGAACGACCATGAACAAACAAACTCATTTTTGTTTGTCCTTCTCGGATACACAACAAACAACCTAACCACCAATCTTCTTCCATTTGCTCAAGCACACATCTCCTTTTTTCTTTTCCAGGACACCGAAGCCAATGGCCCATGTTTGGGCGAGGATCATCCCTGCCCCCGGGTTTCCGACTGCCCGCCAAGCGCGAGGCGGGGTCCTCGGGCGCCGCCTTCCGCGCCGCGGTGACCACGGAGGACGCGACGCGCGCAGCGCGCTTCGCGGCGGTGCTGGGGCAGCCGGGCGAGGCGCGCGCGGAAGCGCGTGGCCGAAAGCCGAAAGCCGAACGCCGTGGGGGTGGGCTATGGGTGGTCCCTATGGGTTTCTGATGGATCGTTCTTTGGTTTTCCCAATGGTTTTGCCTGGGTGCGATGTATTGTTTTTGGTTTTCCATGGGTGTCCTAAGGTATGGTGCTACTGCAGATGGACAAAATCCATTTCGCATCACTTTGAACCACGGTTGAAGCCAGTGCTTGTTGGTATTTTTGCAGGGGGATCATCATTCCGGGATTTCTTAGGTGGTGCGAAATGGATTTCGTCCATCCACAGTATGTATTTTTTTGGTTTCTATGGATGTCCTAAGGTAAGCTTGGCTTCTGTGGCATTTTGCTTGGTCTGCCCTGACTCGTGTTCTCTGTGGTGTTTGGTATATTTTGCGGACATGGGATCGATCCCAGGTATCAGATTTGGTTTTTGTGGGTTTCCTATGGTGTTCATCTTGAGTTTTCCCTATAACCTCCCTTGGTTTCTATGGTGTTTTGTTTCCCCTAAGGCCGTGTTCCCTATGGCTTCCCTATGGCGTTCCCCCCAAAATAAGGGGTCTTCCCTATTGTTTCTGGTTTGATACCAACCATTTAAGGGTACCCTCAAAGAAAGATGGACCTATGGGCTCCATTTGCTATGTGGGCCTGGTTCCTTTTGTTGAGGCTGCCCCAACTTTCCTGGTGGGTTTTAGATGGAAATCAACCGGAAAACTGAAATCCATTCGGTCCGAATCCTAAAAGCCAAACCCTGAGACGCATGAGCTTGGTTGTCTCAGCGTATCCTATCATGCAGGCTTATTCAGGAAGTATTCCGACCGAATTGCCCAGAGCCCACGAGGAATGTGTGGCTCGCATGGAATAGCACATCCCGAATGAGTTTCCATCTCCATTCCCATATCCGCGATGGCTCAAAACTGATTTGCGGGTTGTCCTGCGCATCAAAAGGCCCCTGCTAAGCCTCAAGCTGTGGTTTCCTAAAATCCATAGGTTTTACACCCTCCAACATGGTTCATTTGTGCAAACCCAGGTTTAACCTTGAACTCAATAGATTTCTCAACATGCAACCAATGGACCCACCTTTTCGAATTTGCTTGACACACAGGGGTCCAGCCTCGTTGAGACACATTCATGTGGGTCTGGCTTTGAGTCCCCTTTTTTTCCGGGTTTTCAGGGGAAACCAAATGGATGTGGAGTCCCCCCAATGACACAGCCGTAACATCTCCTGAATTTGGCGTTTGGTTTTGGTTTCGCTTTGAATTGCGGCAAGGCTCCGAATATTGAGGAGCACCCAGTATTTCCCCCCCTCCCCCCGTTCGGTGGTTTTTAACGTCGCAGGTTTTGGTCGCTGCCTTCATCAGTAGGCAACCTTTTCCACTTGAACTCCCCCTTCCCCTCGCCCGTTAAGGAACCTTTTCCCCTTGGACCCCTCCCCAAAAAGTCGAATCCGTCGAGCCACAGCGATCGCCATTTTGCCCAGGTGGTGAACGCCATGCGCCGCGCGGGCCTGGCGGCGCTGCCGCTGGAGCTGCAGGCGTGGCCCCTGTTGGGTCTCCCTGGCTCGGGTCACTGGGTGCGTTGGATGTTTTGGTACGCCTGGGTCACGCAAGTTTGTTTTTTTGCTGGGAACCGAGCAAATCATGCAAAGTCTTGGCTTCCTTAGTTGGCGGTTTTGGTATGCACACGGCTTCCTTACTTGGCGGTTTCAATGGGACCTGAAAAGAAGATGCAAAGCCCTGGCTTTTGAGTTGGTGATGGCACGCCATGCGCCGCGCGGGCCTGGCGGCGCTGCCGCTGGAGCTGCAGGCGTGGCCCCTGTTGGGTCTCCCTGGCTCGGGTCACTGGGTGCGTTGGATGTTTTGGTACGCCTGGGTCACGCAAGTTTGTTTTTTTGCTGGGAACCGAGCAAATCATGCAAAGTCTTGGCTTCCTTAGTTGGCGGTTTTGGTATGCACACGGCTTCCTTACTTGGCGGTTTCAATGGGACCTGAAAAGAAGATGCAAAGCCCTGGCTTTTGAGTTGGTGATGGCAGGTCAGGGGACCCCAAGTTGGTTGGATTGCTGGGAACTGGAGAACTGCACCCCTGGCTTTGGTAGAAGGTAATTTGGACTACCTAACCTCCAAATCAATCAAACCCACCAAACAGCGGGTAATCTAGCAGGGGGAAGTGGAATGAAAAGTACCGTTTGGAACTGGTGAATTCCTCCTGGCTTTGGTCGAGGGTAGATTAGAAAGCCTAAGCTCCAAAACCAATCCGAACCAAGGGCGAAGCTGATTACTTGCGGGTGGCTCTTGTGCTTTTGCACTCATCAGCTTTTGGGGTCGTCTATGTATGATTTGACCCAGACTTGGGCCAGCTCAAGCAACTCACCTTTGACCTCTGAATGCTTGCAAAGCACGCGCTGGTAAACGGGGGGAGGGAGGGAGGGAGGGGGAACATGCGCAAACCTTGGGTTGTTTTCAGTGTTTCTTGTGTGGCTATGAGGGTGAATGGTTGGAACTTTGACGAAAGTGGACACAAATCCCAAAATAGCTGTCTCCATTTTTACAAGCAGTAAATATGGTTGCCCCGAACCTCGTATTAGAGTCATTTTTTGGTTCTTCGCACAAGTGCAATAGCCGAGGTTTCCCTCTGAATTGGCTTGGACTCCTGTCTTGCGGGACCGGCTCGCCTGCTTCAGTCCGATGCAGATTCAGCGAATGACCCGCGCCAATGGCCTCCAAGTGAACATCAAAAACTGGGCGGCTTGGGTCAACACGTGGCTTGCTTTTGCCCAGCCAACGAGCAGGGATAGGGCACATATTCATTTTTCAAGACAAGGCAGGAAACATATCCATTTGGCCAAAGAAGAGCGGCGGGGAGGTTTTCTTCCCATCGCCAGACCTCCGCCCTCTGAAACTCTCGCCAGGGGGCGCCCTGGGCATCCGTAGTTCTCCACACGGAGTTAGCGCCTTGCAGCGGAGTCGAGTTTCTATGTCCCAACCCATTCTCTTGCTGGTGCGATAGGCCGGGAATGAGCCCCAAGAAGAGCCATGAAACTGGTGGTTTCCTTTCAGGGGACCAATTCCTGGGTTCATTCCCACATTTCCTACCTATCGCACCAGCAAGTTAATGTTGACCCCGGATGAATAAACCGCTGTTTATGAATATGGGGGGTGCTCCACTCCAAAAGTGAATCCCCACCAAAACCAGGGGCACCCCTCATATCAGCAAACAGGGGTTTATTAATCTGGGGTCAACAATAGCTTTCGAAGTAAGCCGGAAGTTCTGCAGGCAGTTAGCAACCAAAACCCTGGTTTTGGGTTGGTGTTTGGCTAGGTTCTGCTAGGAGCTTGTACGATGACTAGCCAGTTGCTCCTGTGTGCTAGTAAGTACCGCACTTCACAGCCCCATTCGGATCACTGCGTTCTCGGTAGTATGCTTCAGTTTAGGCTCATTCTAGCTCCTTCCCTGAGAAGCTCGATTCTTTCAGGCTTTTTTTTGGAGTGAGTGCGTTGGTTTTTATTTGCGGCTCCTCATCTTGAGGTTGGAAAAACACGAAAGAGAAGACCTCCCGTGTTCGGTCCATGACTGCACAAGCTGTGGGTCCTAATTTGTTTTGACCATTTCAACTGACGTGGACATATGGCTGTGGTTGTCAAAATCGTTTTGGGATCCCATTTTGGGGTAGGTGAATTCACCACCCATTTTAGAACCTATTTTAGTGGGGATTGGGATGTTGACTGGGGTACGATCTGGATTTGGACCCATGGCCATATGCTTTTCGGCTTGACCAATGCAATACCCATGTCTTTAAGCCGTCCCCAATTTCCCGCGACTGCCATGGGAGCTTTGAGCTAAAGGGCACCCTGATCGGCGGAAGTGAGAGTGGACCTTTGAGCCCGGACTATTCTATGGCCTCATCGAAATCGTGGCCTCGAAATGCGTTTTCACCACTTGGGTTCCGTTTGGAGGCAAATGGCTTACGCCGACTCCCGGAGTGAACTCGTGCAGACAGAAAGAAGAAGCAGAAGGGGCCAGGCTCTTTGATCAGCTGGTCTTCCTATTTTCAGCTTTTCGAAAGACGCCTGGTGCAAAGCCACTTGGTTGGTTTGGCGCTCTGAGTTGGTGAATTTATTTGGAACGGGGCAACGGAAAGTGGTTCAACCTGCCTGAAGTCCTGCAAAGGGGTATTTCAGAAAGGGTCGCCCGGTTGAGTCAGGATGATGGCGAGGCCTAAGCCTTTGCCAGCTTTCTTTTTTCCCCAACAGCTGAAAGCTTTGGGGTCTCAGCCCAGATAGGCTCTGGGGTGGTCCGGGGCGGCCCTGAGGTAAGGTTCCACGAGGGTTCCACCAGGGTTCCATGAGGGTTCCACCAGGGTTCCACCAGGGTTCCACCAGGGTTCCACCAGGGTTCCACCAGGGTTCCACCAGGGTTCCACCAGGGTTCCACCAGGGTTCCACCAGGGTTTTCCAGGGTTCCACGAGGTTCTGCGAGGGCTGAGGGGTGGTGTGAGCACTAAAAACAGCACCGCATGCTGTTGGGGATATCACCTGAGCTTATTTTTTCTCCTTTTTTTCCCCAACAGCTGAAAGCTTTGGGGTCTCAGCCCAGATAGGCTCCGGGGTGGTTCGGGGCGACCCTGAGCTAAGGTTCCACCAGGGTTCCACCAGGGTTCCACCAGGGGTTCCACCAGGGTTCCACCAGGGTTCCACCAGGGTTCCACCAGGGTTCCACCAGGGTTCCACCAGCGTTCCACCAGGGTTCCACCAGGGTTCCACCAGGGTTTTACCAGGGTTCCACCAGGGTTACACCAGCATTCCACCAGGTTCTGCAAGGGCGATGGTTTGAGGTAAGGTTCCACGAGGGTTCCACCAGGGTTCCACCAATTTCTTCGACGAGGGTTCCGCCAGGGTTCCACCAGGGTTCCAGGCTGCGGGGTGGTCTGGGTGGTTTGAGGTAAGGTTCCACGAGGGTTCCACCAGCACTGCAGGGGTGGTTTGAGGTAAGGTTCCACGAGGGTTCCACCAGGGTTCCAGCAATTTCTTCGAGGGCTGGGGTGGTCTGGTTTGACACGAGGGTTCCAGATTTCCACCAGAATTGTGCCAGGGTTTGACGAGGGCTGCAGGGTGGTCCGAGGTGGTTTGAGGTAAGGTTCCACGAGGGTTCCACCAGGTTTCCACCAGAATTCCACCAGCCCGTCGTGCTCCGGACAAGGGTTCCACCAAAGTTCCACCACTTTCTTCGAGGGTGCGGCGTGGTGCGGGGAAGGTTCCACGAGGTTCCACGAGGGTTCCACCAGGGTTTCACCAGGGTTCCACCAATTCCACTAGAAATCCACCAGGTTTTGCAAGGTAAGGTTCCATTCCAGCACGGTTCTAGCAGGGTCCCACAAGGTTCTGCAAGGGCTGCGGGGTGGTCCGGGGAGGTAAGGTTGTATGAGGGTTTCAGGGTTCCACAAGATTCTGCGAGGGCTGTGGGCCCTGAGGTTTCACAGGGTTCCACAAAGCTCTGCAAGGATTCCACACGGGCTCCACAAGGATCCAATGCTCCACCAAGGGTGTGTCGTGCGCCCGTCGTCTTAAAAGCCATCGGATCAATATCGCTTTGCTCATGGGCGGAACACTAAGCAAAACCGAAATCAATGGTTTTTAGCACACTTTCACTGTTTTGTGACTTGCTCACTTGCTCGGGCAAATGTTGGCTTTGTGGCAATTCCAAGAATTCCACGAGGCTGCGAGGGCTATGAGGTCAGAAGGTTTCCACCAAATTCTGCAAAAACTGTGGGGCGGCCCTGAGGAAAGGTTCCAGCAAAGTTTCACGCTGAGCTCCACGAAAGTTGCGTGAGAACGGTTTGCGAGGTTCACCGGGCCTGGGCGGGGCCCAATTGCACTGTCGGGGACCGCCCGATTGCACCGTTTGCCCCGATTGCGCCATCGCGCCCCGATCGGGGCCCGTCAATTGTACCAAGCTGGCGTCGCCTAGTTTCCGCATACTAAGGAAAACCGGCGATGAGCCATAATATGGGTGGCCGGGGTTGCACCACGGGACGATCGGGGCCCGATTGCACCGTCGAGCCCCGATCGGGCCCCGATTGCGCCGTCGAGCCCCGATCGACCCCGATTGCGCCGTCGGGCCCCGATCAGGGCCCGACTCAGTCGGGCCCCGTCAATTGTACCAAGCTGGCGTCGCCTAGTTTTGCTATAGATACAATCCGCTATAATATGGGTGGCTGGGGTTGCACCACGGGACGATTCGGGCCCGATTGCACCGTCGGGCCCCGATCGGGCCTCGATTGCACCGTCGGGCCCCGATCGGGCCCCGATTGCGCCGTCGGGCCCCGATCAGGGCGAGCTCGTAGCTTTGCTTTACAAGGCGGCATCCTCAGCAACACCGGCGGTGAGGATGGTCCCGGGGCGTTCCGCGAGGATGCTGGGAGGGTGTGGTGCTGTTGGGGATATCGCCCGAGCTTATTAAAATAAAAAAATATTACCAAAATATAAAGCAACTAATAATAATAACAATCTCTTCGCCGAATATTTTCAGGTCCTTGACGTGTGAGATGTGCTAGCCTCTCCGCCTCTACTGGTCTGGGGATTGTCCTAAGCGGGCCGGCCTTTACTTGGTCCCCCAGTAGTGCCCTTTTGCCCGTATTATTTGGGGGAGGGTTCCCCTACTAAAATGGACTACAGAAAAAAGGTTGGTACCCTGATTCTGACCTCTCTGGAGGACCTAGCTGGTTTTGAGGGGCTCACAAGACCTGCAGGTGCGGGTCCCATGAGGAGATTTCGCCACCCTTGGACCCCAAATGACTCCTCCCTGGGAAGCCTAGAGGGAAGACCCACTGTCATGGGTTCCAAGAAACTGGTTCCAATCGCAGGACATGTGGTCAAATGGGCATTTTGTTTGTTTGTACCCTTTCCCACCTTTCAAAGGGAAAGCAGGAACGAACATCGAAGACATTTTTCGGGCCCCGATCCCTTTGATTCACACCCACATTGTTTTTGCGGGTTCGCTCTTTTGGTCCGTTTTCAGGGATCCCCAAGGACCAGGTTCCCCTTTTCGGTCTGCAAAGGGAAGCCAAGGAAAACCGCAATCTGGTCGGGGTCCCCTAAAAAGACACCCACGTGGCGACGGATCTCGGATCCTTCAGGCACTGCCGCCTGAGAAAGGGGAGCCGGCGGTGCGGGGCCTGTCCAAAGAGCCCCTCGGCTGCGCGTCTTTTTCTGGAACCCCTCGGATGGTGTGGGTTCCAATGGGCTCTCCCTTTTTCGGCGGCCGGGGGGCATGCCATCTCAAGCGCTTGACGCTCTTTTTCTGGTTGGGGCCGGGGCCCTGTCAACTACCAGGGCGCCCCAAAAGGTGGCCCCTTGCGCGAGAGGCCAGGGCGAAAAGGAACAGCCCAGGCCTTTGCCCCAAGGCCTGGGATCGAGGGTCCCGATCAGAACAGGGGGTCAAGGCACCGATGGTTGGTGGGTTTGGAGCGGTTGTTTGTGGTGGATCTCCGGCTTTGGGTGTCCTTTTGGAATCTTTGGCAACACCGTCAAAATCCAAATCCCGTACTTTCAGTGAATATCCCGATCCAACCACTAAAATGGGTTCTAAGATGGTGCACCTAGCCCATTATGGGATGCACAACGGTTTTGACCACCACGGCCAAGTGACGACCAGCTGAACCCCCGTGGTTTTTACCTCGGAGAAGGAGGGGGAATGGCGAGGCTTAGCCGGCAGCTGGGGGTAGACGTCACCGCAGATGTGCTGGGAGTGCGGCAGGTGCGGAGGGTTCGGTCTCATAAACTGATGGGGGCTGGGCTGGGTTCACTGCCAAGCACGGATTGCTGGCTAGTTGGTTGGTGGGTTGGTTGGTTGGTTGGTTGCTTGCTTGCTTGCTTGCTTGCTTGCTTGCTTGTTTGCTTGCTTGCTTGCTTGCTTGCTTGCTTGGTCGATTGGTTGGTTGCTTGCTTGCTTGGTCGATTGGTTGGTTGCTTGGTTGCTTGGTTGGTTGGTGGATGGGCGGATATTGTTGGCTGTCTGGCTGGCTGTCTGGCTGGCTGGCTGGCTGGCTGGCGCTTAGTCGGTTGGCCAGTCGGTCGGTTGGCTGGTTGGTTGGTTCGTGTATCATTGGCTCTTTTCCTCGGGGGTTTTCTCTTGCGGACTGTACCTTTTAGCCCATGCTTCCTCTCGGCCTAGTGATGTTTGGGCAGACTTATCGGCAGCCCTTGGAAGGGTAGAAGCTTTTAGGGCTGCATGGTGTTTGCTCCGCTTTTCTCGGTTTCGCAGGCTGCTGGTTGGTTGATGTTGGCTAGTCTTTTCAAGTGGCTTCTGTTGAGAGTCACGTGGGTTGAAACAGCTCGAGGACCACCGTCCAAGGAGCAGATAGCCCAAAATTCCGCGGGTCGGAGGAAAGGCAACAGAAGAACATAACAAGAATGAATATCCACGGCAATGCTTCCGCCCGTGTTAACCGTTTGAAGGGATGCCGTGTCGCCCAAGTCAACTCTGCCAGCGGACTCGAAAACCGCCACGTGGATGTTCGGTCAATGTAGATAGTGGTTAGCCATTCGGGTTATAACCCACAGATAGTAAGATTAACCCCCTTAAGGGGGACTTGCAACTGGGTTATATCCTAAACTTAGCTTGCTTAGCTGGTGGTTGGAAGGCATTCCCCGGCCAAAAGTTCAAGCTAACCCTTGGCCAAAGGTTCGCAACGCACGCAGGTACAGGAGCAAGAGCTGCTGGGCGCCCCCCATGGGCCAGCGGCCGCCTGGACGCCGTCCCCGGCGCCGCCTGTTGTGTCCACAGCGGCGCCGTCCCCGGCGCCTTCGCAGCCGGCGCCGTCCAGGCGGGGGAAATTTGCGACCAGGACGCCTATGTGGCTAGGTCCCCCAGCTGGGTGCCTTTTCTCACCCCTTTTTTGGTTGGGAGGGTTCCCCTATTAAAATAGAGTGCAGAAAGAAGTTGGTACCCTTATTCTAACCTCTCTACTGGAGGACCTAGGTGGGGGCTGGGGAGAGAAAAGGAGGCTGGCCAACACTGGTGATGCCAAGTCGAGGCTTTTGTCTTGCCCAGCCCCGGAGGTCTAAGAACCCAGCATCTGTGGTTTGTTCAACTTGCCCTTAGACCGAGGGCGACGTTTGCGGAGGGCGAAGCCGGGCGGCTGCCACTGCAGGCGGCAAAGGCGGGGGGGGGAGGGGAGCTCGGAAGGGGGAGTCGGCCTGTTGGTTGAACATAGACTTAGAGTTTCACCGGTTTCAGCTTGGTTCAGTTGGTTCGAGTTGAATTCGCAGTGCCATCTGCTTTTCCAAAAGGACACCTAGGAAGGGTGGATGCCGTTGTTACCTCCATTTTCTGCTTTTATAGGGAGCATCCTCAAACATAAAAAGTGGATAATCCCATGCCAATGATGTTTACCAAAGGGTGCTGAAGAGTAACATTCAGTTGGCACATGGCTGTGCCCCAATTGTGGCCCACCCCATTGCCCAAAATCTCCAGTTGTGTGGTACCTATTCGTTGCTTTGCCAACGGAATAGTTACTCACTTTGTCTCCAAGATAGGAATTGGTCCCCTCATATGGTTGGTGTTCAAACGTTTGGTTTCCTTTTCAACACCAACCCACACAGGGTCCACCATTGGAGAAACTGCCATTTAATGTTCTTCTTTTCTGCGCGCTGGCCCACAAGTGTTGACACCATCACCGTCTCTTCTCTCGGCTCCGAACATGCCCACTTCGTTTTCCTCGTTTGCTGAACATCACCCCCAAGTGCAACCTGAGAGACCGAAACAAGTTTTCGCCTCACACAAGACACCTTCGAAACCGGTTCCGCAAACAAGCCGCAGCAGGAAAAGCCAAACACCTCGGGCGACTGGTCCGAACCGGGGGAGTCAAAACTTGCTGGTGCTCAGTAGGGAATGAACCTGGAAATTCCCTTAAGGGAAACCAAATCGGGAATGGTTTAACAAGGTCATTCCATTTCTCAGTCCCTGCTTATTGCACCACCAAAAACAAAAAGAGCAACGCTCGGGCGCAGGTCCGCCACAACAACCTCGGGGGCGCGCGCGCGGGGCGGGGGCCGCTTGAGCTGCGGTACGGCGGGGTGGGTTCCGCGGAGGGTGTCCCGCTGGACGTCGCCGGGGGGCCCAAGCCATGCGTTCGGTTCGGGTCGGGTTTGGTCGGGTGCACGAGGGCCGGTGTTGGGGTTCAATGGTTGGCCATTTGGAACACTACCTTTTCCGCCAGGCCACAAGGACACTTTTTTTTTAATATTTTTTTTTTGGGGGGGGGTTCAAGCTATGAGAACCCCTGTTTTCCGTAAAAACGTGAGGGTCGCATGCTTGCGAAGACATGTTATTATGTGTTGGCTGATTTTGCCAACTTAAGAAATATGGTTGCAAGAATCTACATCTTGGCTTGGCGATGTTGCAACAAGTCGAAGGGAGGCGAGTCCAAAGGAGGGGAAGAACGCGTGTCCGCTTGAACATGTTGAGCGGTTTGGGTTCTTAAGCGTATCTTTCAGGTTCACCGCTCTTCTCAGTGTCTCTAGCCATTTTCAGTGGGGGCGATTTTGTGTTCGGTTCTATCCATTTCTTCTCAGCGGAGCGCTTTGGTGCGCAATTGCGCGCTTCAGCTTCGGGGGTGCTTCGGAGCAGCTTTCGTTTGGAGGGTTCCGGAAGGAATCCAGGGTGCTGTTGTTAGTTTGGGGGCTGTTGGGGATAGCCTATGCTTGTCTTCTTCTTCTTCTTCTTCTTCTTTTGGGAGTTTGGGAGTGGCTGCAAAGAACAGAGACCGCTGTGAGGTGCTGCGGGTCATGGGCGGCACGTACCAACCCGCCATCAACGGCCTCACCGGGGGGCAGGGCCATCACTTCGCGGCCTCGGTGAATGCGCCTCGCGGGAAACGGCTCGGCGATTTTCTCAACATCCCTCGAGTGGCCTGTTACTTGTTTCCTTTGGGTTTCTCCTTGAAGCTATTCGACAGGGGGTCCGAATCTGGTTTGTAACATCACCTTGTTTGGGGACCCTACATTTTTTGGTGGTTTTCAACACCTTCAAAGGGCCCTTTTTGGTGAGTTTCCCTTGGGAGGAATATTTTAGGTTGGAACCCAAAAGGAAGGCTGGGCACTTGAGGCCCGTCGATCCCCCTTTACTTGGTTTTCGTTTGGGACGCAAGTACACCCGCGCAGTCGGGGAGGGTCTAACACTCCACATGTGAGGGACTCACTTGAAACGCACTTTTCTCCAGAAGCCGGAGCATGCAAGAATGAACAACGGCCACTTTTGAGACCTCAAGGGGTTGGTTTCCTTTTGGCTTCCCTAAAACAACCCACGCAAACCTACCTCCTCAGCTTATGAGACACACCTAGCTCTTGCTCAGGTTGCCGCCGGCACGTCCGTGGATCTGCAGATCAGCTTAGTCTCGAGTCAGGCGATCTCGAGATCTTCCTGGGGCTTAGGGTCGGTTTCGAGTGGGAGGGTGGGTTTGGGGCAGAGTATGCGGTTTTTGCACATTACCGTTTGCTGGTAGTGGGTGAATGAGGGAATCTTCCCTATTCGCCATCGCCCTGTGGTTTCCTTGAAGCGGATTTATTGGTTCATGAACAAATTCAGCTGACTCCCTACTGAGAACCAGCCAGTTCTTAGACCGAACTTCACCAATTTCTCCAAATTTCCCGGGTGATTGGAACAAATGACCTTTGCCATGCCTCGATCCCCCAGACCCCAAAGTCCCCCAGCTTTCTCATTTCCCAGCGGAACATTCGTACTGTATGGGCGAAATCCGGATCACATGAAATCCTGATTTTTCTCAGCCACCAACTGGAGCAGGATCTCGTCCACAGAAGTTTTGTTGTTGCGCATTTCTCTCGGTCGTTTCGCCTGGACTCGTTGCGCAACGGGGAGCATGGAAGGCGCCGTCGGCGAAAGTGCGGCGCATCTACTTGCAGGTCTTCGACATCGAGGATCGAGCGATATCGAAACAGCCCATCGGTTCCTTTGACTTTTTTGGGGGTGGCCAGGCCAAAGAAGACGGGGAGGGGGGGGGGGGGGTGCTTGCTTGGTTGTCTTGCTGGGGGAGGGCTTGATTCCTTTTCTCTTGTTTTGGGATGGGCTTTCTTTGAGGTCGGAATTGGTGCGCAACCGATTTGGGCCCCATCACATCACGGGGACTCCCACTCATTCACCAGCTCCAACATGTCTGGTTGGTGTTTTATTCCTCGTCTGCCTTTGAAAACCAAAAGGAAGCGCATGAACCGAACCAACCACAAGGGGTCTGAATCCTCCCTCCCGACAAAGGCGGAGCCCAGTTCGAAGGGCCTTCGCAACCCGGAAAAAATCGCGCCTCTCTGCGCATGGCTTAGATGCGCTCAGCCGTTGGGGTGTGTCTTGTTGGGTGCCGTGTTTGGGGGGGCTGAACCCGGGCATTTCGGTGGGCCTCCCGTCTTTAAGGCACACCCATTTATGATAATGCATTGCAATGGCTTCATTCTTCCAATGCCCATGGTCATGCGAATGCCGGCAATTCCCCAGATTTTCGCATGGGTGCCAGCAAAATGATTCCCCACTCGCGGCGATCAGATTCCCCAGAAGCGGGTCGCCATTTGACCCACAATCAGAACTCCCGAAATCAGTGAGTTCCCTTTGATTTCCCTTTTAAATCACTACAACAAAGGCACCCTCAAAGCCACCCAATAGCTGCATGCTGATATCCCTTTTAAGTTTTTACCATGGGTTTGGGGTCAGGTGTTGAGCTCGCATCGTGTTTCGCAGGACCCGCGGCCGATGCTTTCTGAGAGGGAGGTGGCGGTGAAGCATTGCGAGGCGAGCGCGAGCAGGGCGCGGTGCTAGTTGGGTGTCCTTTTGTAGGATATGGCTGTGGCTCAAAAAACCGGAATTCCAAAATGGGTTGCCCGATCGGTAAGTGGAAACATGGGTACCAAAATTTGCGGTTGCCCATCCGATCGTTTAATTTTGATTGCCACGCCCATATCCTTTTTTTGGTTCGTTGAATGGAAAATGACGCTGAGAACCGGCTCTTTGGGTTCCATGGGGGGAGTGCTGCTGTCACTGCTGTCATATGTCCGGCAATGCGGGCCAACCTGCGAGAGCCTCATCGAAATCCGTGCTTTGGGTACGGGCTGACTGCTTTACGGCTATTTGGCAACGAATCTTTGGACTTTAACTTTTGCTGGAAACAGATAACTTTCCATTGGACCCGCTAACGGCCAAACCACTTTCTGCAGAGGGGGTCGGCAGTTACAGCAACCAAGACTGTGCTTTTGCTCTGTTGGTCTCCTTGAACTTCTCGGCTGCCTTCGCCATGAATCTACGTCCAGATGCGAGGTCTTGACCAACTCGCTCGCGATACCTTGTGGGTTGCCAGTGATTGTTTTTCGACATGCCCTGAATTGGGTTTGTCGTTTTTGGGCACTCTTTTGGGGCTGAGTTTTTCCGGGAAACTCCAAAAGCTGGAAGCCGACGCCCATTTTGGGGTTCCCTTTGAGACACACCCATTTGGCGCCAATGTCTTCCTCCTCATGTTTGTAATTCTGGCCTTGTGCCTGGCCGTGAAATGTTTTCACCCAAGAAAGGAATTGCAGCAAATTTCTGAAGGCTATCTATCAAGCAGAAACGGTATGACCGTCTTAAAAGGGAGAGTGTATGGTTTGGGACCCTGTCATATGTGTCCTTTTTAGGATTGGTTATAAATAGATGGGTTCCACTGGAATAGAAATTGCTTTTGTGCCCCATTCGGCCTGTACATGATCTTCAGTGGTTGTCCGCGCCCACCTACAGCCCTGGTGGCAACCCAATGTGAAGCTTGTCGATGCGATTGAGAGGCTTCCACCTGCCTCCGCGCAGTCGAGGGATGCGAAGTTGGAATCCGTGGAAAACTCTTGGGGCTGCATTCAGCTTCTCAGACACGCGTTTCTGCTATTTTTTTCAGATGAGCGAGGTGACTCATGGAGTTCGTTTCAGTCCTCATGGATTATTTCCTTCTCCCCCTAAGGGGTGGTTCCCCTTTTCTTTTGAGAGCCCTGAGGCCCTACTAGGGGGGGGGGGCACAGGGAGCCGCCGGCTCGCGATCGATTGATGGATCCAGGCGGTGCTTTGGCCCAACGGCACTCGGAACGTCCAGCCTATGGAGGCGCGTCACTGGCGGGAGGTTTGGGGGGGGGGGGGGATGGGCTGCAAGATTGAAAGTCCAAGGGTAGATATCCGGTTTAGGTTTCTTTGGACATTCTTTTTCAAAGGGGCTATGGGCATATTTAGAGGTATATTTTGGGGTGGGGGAGAGGGGGAGGTTTTCTCTTTTTCTTTATATTATATACACATACAAGTAAGGTCCGGCAGAGCCGGGGGGCGGAAGTTTCAAAGCAGTGAACAACTATAGTTTGGAGAACTGTCCTTGGCCCCTTGCTCTCTCTCTCTCTCTCTTTTTCTCTCTTTCTCTCTTTCTCTCTTTCTCTCTTTCTCTTTCTCTTTCTTTCTCTGTCTCTCTCTCTCTCTCTCTCTCTCTCTCTCTCTCTCTCTCTCTCTCTCTCTCTCTCTCTCTCTCTCTCTCTCTCTCTCTTTCTTCTCTTTCCCTTTCCAAAGCTCCCAACGAGCGCTTCAAGTTCAACTCTCCTCCCTCCCCCCCGGTGGTGTAGGAACCTTCAGAGCCCTGTGACTGTGACACCATGTGGCAAAAAGGAACAAGTCTTACAACAAGCCTCACCAAAGCGGCCCCATCTTTTCTACTCCGGGCCCTCTGCTCCGCACGCTCGTAGGCACGCTGGCCGAAGCGCCAAGCGCGTCCGTCGGTGCCAACATCCGTGCTGACACGTCGCGCGCGTCGCCGGCCGAAGCGCCAAGCGACGACTACGCCTGCGTGACATCACGTCGCAGGTGGCAGCTGCCTGCGGCCCAAGATGAGTTCCCACGCAAGTCGTCCGTGCTCTGAAGACATGCGCGCGACTTCGCGAACTTTGCTGAACATGATCCACTGCCTGCACGTCTCCACGCCACTGATGCTCAGACGATCGCACTGCCGCTGAGCCGCTGTGTCCGACACGCCGGGCCCATGGATTGTGTCCCAGCACCGCTCGCACACACCTGTGCGCTCCAGCTCGCGTCTGTCTGGCTCTGTTTGCCACCTGTCGTCGGCTATGGCTTTCGTGCACGCCACGCATTCCTGCGAAGCCAAGCGCTCGGGCACGCTTAGGTTTCTCCTGTACACGTCCTTCAGCGCATTCAGCGCGTCGCCGCTGATGCTCACGAAAGTCGCCATGTCAACGCCGGCCGAAACGCCACGCGCGGAGACTGCCTGCTATGGCGCGGAGCGGCCGGCCGAAACGCCAAGCCTGCTCCTAACACGTAATGGCCGTGTGACTCGCTGTGGCAAACTTGCTGTGCCGTGGAAAACAGCTCTTTAGTGACAAGATGTTGCGCTGCGTGTGTGCGTGTGTGATGTGTGGGTGTGCGTGTGTGTAAACATAAGCCCAAGTCACAGTAGTAACTGATTTTGAGCCGTTCAAAAAGCAACGACGGCGTTTGGCTGCTGAGCGAACAAAAAACACGGCACCCGTCAATCACAGCCCTCTTGTGTCCCACAAATGAGGCCTTAATAAGGCCTTACTAGGGTGGGGTTCCTTTGGCTTCCCCTTACAACCAACCAAAAAAAAAACAGGCATCAGACTTCACAAAATGGGTGGTGCCCCCTTCTCGTTTCCCGAAAAGAGTGGTTTTCCGTTGGGTTCCCTTTAAAACCGAGCCAAAAAAACAAAAACGGGCACCGAGCCCTGCAAAATGGTGGTCTCCCTTCAAAAAGCCACAAAAACAAATGGGCACCGGACCTCCCAAAATGGACCTTCCGAGGTCTGTTAAGGACAGCAAAGGCAAAAAGAGGTGAGCTCCAGGGGTTGCATCGTGGCTTTTGTCCCACGCGCAAAAGTGGTTGATCCTTCGCCCTTTTAGAAACAAAACCCTTATCAGCGCATTGCTTCTTAATCAAAGAACAAAAAGGCCATACTGGACAAGCTGAACAACACGAAGCCGCTAAAATCTCCCCAGCTCCGTCTCCCGCCCCGCCCCCGCAAAAGCCAGCCTTATTTCTCCGGCGAGCTTGGTCTGTGCGCCGCTGCTCGCGGCCCGAAACGGCACGCGAGCGTTGCGGCTGGTCGTCACTGCTTGCTGGCGCAGCAACTACGCGGCCCGAAACGGCACGCGCAGCGCTACGCTCATGCTTTGGAGTCTCCCGTCCTTGCGCGCTCCAGCAGCCGCTGGAGCGACTCATGCAGGTCCCGCATATACTTCTCTGCTCGCATGCACCACTTCACTTCCTGCGCAGAGAAGTTTGGATGAGTTCCGGCCAAGTACGTGACGAACTCGTGCCCCTGATCAATGAGCCCATCCCGCTGGCCGTCGGGATACAGCCGAGGCAGGAACCGCGGCAGCTGCTGCAGCTGCAGCTGTTGTCGCCGATCTTTGTGATACTGCTCACTGTGCGTGCGCGTCAAGCCGCATGCGCAAGCCACCTGCTGGTAGAAACCTATGTTGCGCAGCTTCTGCACGTTGTCTGTGTCCCAGGTGCCGCGGTTTGGACTGGCCAGCGTGCCCAAGAACGAGAGCGCGTGCATCTTGAGAGTGGTGCCGTGGTCCGCCGATAGAGCGTGCCACTGATCGCATGCAGCGCCGAGACCGGCGATGGCTTCGTTGCCGCGGCACATCCTAGACTTCTGCAGCATGTACGGGCAACACTGCTGCACCAGCTGGTAGCTGCGCGTGTACCCGTCCCACACGGGCTGGGCGCGGCCGCCCCACATGGTGTGGACGAAAGCCTGCTGGCACTTCCGCACGTCCTTATCTGCGGGCAGCGCGCGAGCCCACGCCCTTGAGTCATCACTGCAGAAGCGCACACCCGCCCCGTCCATAAAGTCAAGCACGGTCACCTCGTGCAGGTTCCTGCTGGCAACCTGCCTTGCAAAAAGTGCCCCAATGTGGAACTCTACGGGCCCCCGTAGGTGCGGGTGCATCACATTTGCCGGCTGTAGCCTGGATAACACAAAATGCCCAAGCGCTTGGAACGCCAGCTGCAAGCCGTCGCCTTCGCTGGGCGAAATCCCAAGCGAAGCGAGCGCATCATCGCCGGCCGAAACGCCAAGCGACAGCGTGTGCACATTACTGCGAAGGCCGCAAGCATGTAGTCCGTGCCATAGAAACTCTTCTGCGTGCTGGCCGACGAGCTGGCGCATAGTCAGGCTCGGAGGCAAGGCAGCGGCGACGCGCACATGCGCGTGCGCCTCTTGCACCAGATTCTGCGGCGTGACAGCTGCCGTCGTTGCCGCCCCACGATCCCTCTGCCGCCCTGGCCGTGGGTCTGAGAGGCGCCAGCACGCGAGGGCACGCGAGCACTTCCTCGGCCGAGAGCAAGGTGTCGTGGTGCACCAAGAAGTGCAAGTCCGGCACAGGAGCTGGCTCGGATACCTCCGACATCTGCGCGCGCTTTGACGCGGCTCGGAGCGCCGCACCGAAGCTTGGGAAGTCTTCGCCCCCAGGGTCCGGCGCCGGCCACAAAAGATACTCGTCCACGAAGTACGCCCACAGGTCGCACTCTTGCAAGCAAGTCTGCATGGCCGCCCACCAGCTCCGTGCGCCCTGTGTCCGCGGCAGAAACACGCAGTAGGCCGACCCCTGCCACGCTTCCGCGGCCACGTTTCGCAGCGCGCAGCAGAAGTATAAGTAGCGCTGCACCTGCATCATGACGTCCACCTCCAGCTCTCGGCAATGCGCGCCGAGGCGGCTCAGCAACTGCGCCGGCACGTACGCGCCGCCTGCGCTCCGCAGGATCGCCATCATGTGTAGGAAGATGGCGAACTGGCACCGACCGAGCCAAGACGTCTGCTGACCCACCAGACTGCTCGGGAGACCGCAGACATCCAGCATGTGGCTCTCGTGGGCATTGAGCTCGTCTCGCAGAGCGGCGTCGGCCGTGAGCCTCGCCTCGAGCGCGCCTGCCGCCTGGCCCCATGTGTCTGCAGCTGAAGAGTCCAGTAAGTACATGGCGGGCTTGTGCGATCCGCGCGCCGGAGCAAACATAGCGGATGCCGCCTGCTCGTCCTCGGACATGTCTACGTGGGCACACGCCGCGACAGCCAGAAAGTCAGCGCGGCGACGGATGGCCACCGCCCGCCGCCTGCTCTCCACTTCTATGACTTCCGGCCTGGGATGGAAGCGCACGGACCTTGCCGCCCGCTCCGGCGCGTCAGTGGACGAGGCCGGCCGAAGCGCCAAGCCACCGCCCTCCACTCTCCCGGCCATCGTCTGGGACGCACTGGGGTCGAGAAGGCCTTGCTGCAACATTGTCGCACGCACGCAGAGACACCAGCTGGCGTCCACCGGGACGTCGCGAGGGCTGCACAAGCTGCATTTCTCCGGAAGCGACTCGCAAATGCACTGGAAGCATGGCTGCCAGCTAGCCAGCAAGGAGTTCTCCGCGTTGCTCGCGGTCTGAAAAACCATCACTGCGTGCCGCTCTGCTCCGAGAGCGTGCAGCAGCTGTTGTTTGTCCGGCGTCAGCATCCTTTCGAAAAGCCACTGCAGCTGCCCGCCCCGCTTCGAAACAACACGGCGCGGGTCGCCTACATCCGCAAGGACGACATCAAGGTTACCCCGGTGGCGCAGGTGCGCCACTAGCCGTTCCTTGGCGCGGTTTACTACATTATTAGGCTGACGAAAGCGGTGCTTCGCGGCCGGCTTGCCTTCCGTGTGGGATGCTGCTGTCTCTTCGATAATGCGGCGCCCCGCCGTCCAGTCCAGCGAGATCTCGACGCGTCGCCGCGTGCTTTTGAAGACCAGCCACAACACGAAGTAGCAGCACACGGCGAGCAGCATGCTGCGATGCTTGCCGGCCCGGCACACAAACCAAATCTCCAAGGTCCTCGCTGTCCGGACATTCATCCACACGAGGACAGCCATGCAAAGAGCTGCGACCACCATGCCGAAGCTCTGGGCACTTTCTTGCAAATGCTTCCGCGCAAGACACCGTCCGTCCAGCACATGATAGTACACGCCATGCACCGAAATATCCCGCAACAGCTCGTCGACAAAAAAACATAAAAACCTACTGTCCGGCCCTGCGCGCTCCAAGTACTGGAGCAGCTCGCCCTC